CCAGCCTCTTGCCCCCCGGGGGCCCTTTAGCTCTTGCTCAGCATTGATCAGATCCCCTCTGAGGCTTCTCCAGCTGAACAGCCCCAGGGCTCTCAGCCTGTCCTGGTCCCAGGGATGCTCCAGCCCCTCAGCATCTCTGTAGCCTCCCCTGGACTCTCTCCAGCAGCTCCTTGTCTGTCAAACTGGGGAGCCAGCACTGGCCCCAATACTCAGAGGTGGCCTCAGTGGGGCAGAGCAGAGGGGGAGGAGAACCTCCCTCAACCTGCTGGCCTCTCTCCTGACTGCTTCCAGGAGGCCACTGGCCTTCTTGGCCATGAGGACACACTGCTGGTCCACCAGCTCTTGTGTATTTGTGAGAAATCCTGTGAGGTCTCTTCAGCCTCTTCTTACACACCCTGGGACAGCACATCCCCAAGTGCTTGCTGGCATCCAGGGGGTGTTCCTCTTCCTGCAGGTACCTGGACAACATCTACCTCCATCCAGAGGAGGAGAAGTACAGGAAGATCAAACTGCAGAATAAAGTGTTCCAGGTAGGGTCAGGACCCCTGCAGGTGCTCTGCCAAGGAGAGTCCTTGCCTGGAGCTGGCTACATCTCAACTCCTCCCTTTTCTTCCAGGAAAGGATAAGCTGCCTGGAAGGGGTACACAGATTTTTCCAGTCTGTTGGGTTTGAGACGAGAACACTGCCTGTTCCAGGACAAGGCAAGAGATCTGGGTGTGGAACTGGAGCTGGGAGTGTGAGTGGTGGTGGGACAGCCCAGGGGGAGGCAGCTCTGGCTGCTGGGAGAGCTGCAGAGGCTGGGACAGAGAGAGCCCCTCTCCCTGGGAAGAGTTCAGTGAGTCCAATCCTGCCCTTTTGCCTGTAGAGACCACAGAGGAGTACTACGTGCTGAAGGACGAAATGCTGACCAAGCTGGAAGACCTCAAGGACTACAAAGAGCAGCTTTTGAGCTCGGAGCCTGTCAGAGCCCAGCTGGACAGACAGCTCTGTGTCTTCCAACCATCCCCTGCAGCCTCTCGCTTCGAGCTGCCCGACGACTTCTACAACCTCACTGCAGAGGAGATCAGACGAGAGCAGCGGCTCCGGTGGGCTGGGGAGCTCTGAGTGCCCCGGGGAGATCTGGCCCTCTTGCTTCCTGGCTCAAACCTGTGTTCTCTCTAAAGGACAGAAGCTGTGGAGAAGGCTTCCATGCTGAGGACGAGAGCCATGAGAGAGAAGGAAGAGCAAAGGGAGCTGAGGAAATACAACTACACCCTGCTGCGAGTCCGCTTTCCCGATGGGTACATCCTCCAAGGTCAAAAACCTTCTCATCCTGCCTTTCTACCTCCCCAAAAAAGCTTCTCAGGTTACGTGGAGCACGAGAGCTGGAATCCTAAAGTAGAGTTGAGATGCTTTATTCTACCAGCTGCATTCAAGTGCAACAAAACCCAGAGCAGGGCACTGTTTTCACTAAGAACTTTCCCCATCTCTGAGGCCTCCACCTGCCCGGGGTTGGGACTGTGAGCCAGGGTTGGGACTGTGAGCCAGGGTTGAGTGGAGAGGGGAAGGATCTCAAGGTGCTGGTAATTAAAGCATGCTCTTCCCAGGCTGCCAGGAGCAAGCCAGGCTCGTTAGCTCAGCTCATTAGAGGCACCAGCAGGAGGTTGCCTGTGTGTAGTCAGGCAATACAACAGCATAAATCCTCTGTGCACTTTGCAGTGGGATTCTGGAAATCATTTCAGGCTTTCCCAGCTCTTTGTTACAGCCTGGCAGGGGCTTGCAACAATTGAAGCTGTATTTTTCTTTGGGGAGCCTTTTATACTTCACGGGCAAATTAGGCTGTTTCTGTATCAACTGAAGTAGTTCAGAAAGTCAGTGTCAGTCAGTGAGCCCCACGAAACCTACCACAAGAGGTTAGATTTGGTAAGGGCCAGGCTCTCTCTCAATTTCTCACCTTCTTTCCTCATGGCAGGGACTTTTTATGCACGAGAATCAGTGTCTGCACTCTACAGCTTTGTGAGAGAAGCACTCAGAGATGACTGGCTGCCCTTTGAGCTGGTGGGGCCTGGAGGTCTCAAGCTGACTGAAGAGAACTTGGCCTTCAATGAATGTGGGCTGGTGAGTGACCAAAAAAAACCCCTCAACTGGGCTTTTCCACAGGGCTCTTCCAAGTTGTCAGGGTCAGATGCTGCTTATAACTTAAAGAAGCTTGTGTCTTCTGCTCCAAGTTGTGCAAGGAAAGAAAGAATTGCAGGGAAAGAAAGAATTCCTTGAAGGCTCCTGGTTCAGGGCTAGGAGGTCTGTGTGGAAGGAAGCACAGGGACTCACAGCAGTCAGCAGCAGCCACAGTGGGAGAAGAGGGAAGGCAGCACCTGAAACAAGCCCAGCTCTAGCACGAGGCTTCCAAGAGAAAAGCCCAAAGCAGCATCTTAAAGAAATCCACACTTGTCCTTTTTAGTTAGCTCTTGTCAGGTTTTTCCAGGTTTGGGGACACACTCAGCATGTCGTGGGGTCAAAGCAGCAGCTTTGCAGCTGCCTAACTCTGCCTTCTCTGCCCCAGGTGCCCTCAGCCCTCCTGACCCTGGCCTGGGACGCCGCCGTCATGGCAGACGTGGAGGCGGCCGGCGAGGAGCCTCCAGCCAGCCCCCTGAAACCAGAGCTTCTCTCCAGGGTCCAGACACTGTCCTGAAATAAAAGGGAGTGGCTCCAGGGCTGGTTGGTTGTAGACTGTCCCCTCCTTCTCCCCCAGTGGACTGTTGGGGCTTCCAGTAAAGGTGACCTCAGAGCTGACTGGTGTAGCTCGGGGGTGGGAGTCTGGATTCGGCCCCGTCTCTGCAGGCACCTCCACTACTCCTGTAGCTGTACACTAAAGGAGTTTTCCCCCAGTAAGACACTGACAGGACTGCTCTGAATGACTTTCAAACTCCCAGTTGTAGCAGGGGCTGCCCCAGGGGTTTCCAGGACCATGCTGAAGCACCTTTCTCCTCCCAGGAGCAGGATTAGGTGGTTGGTTTAACCAACCGAGCGAGCCTGGGCACGGGGCTGGGCTTAGACCTCAGCTCTTCCTTTTGCTTCCTTGTGCACTGAAACTCCTATTGGAGAGAATATATTTAGATAAAGTGATGCTTAGTCTGATTAAATGGAATATTTAAAGACTGGCTTCTCTTTGGAGTCATTTGAGAGGAGCTCCAGTCGGTGCTGGGGCTGGCACTGGTGGGACTGGGGCAGCTGTGGCATCACCCCCCTTCCCACCCCACGGGGACAGAGCAGGAGCTCTTCCCTGGGGGGAGATTCAGCCTCCAGCTACAGCTGGTATTTTAGGGAACTAACCCATCACCTCACAAGCCACAGAACATTAAAACCCCCAAGTCTGTCACACGAAGGAACCACTTTGATGCTAATTCTGTCCTTTATATGTAAATCTCAAGGTTTCCCCTGGGGGCAGAGATCAGCTTTTGCCTCTACAGCTGCAGCAACCCATGCAGGAGAGCTCAGTTGCCTCCCCCTGATGTGCAATTCATGCTGGCCTGTCCCAAAACAGGAGGAAAAATCCATATTTCTTCCTCTTTTCCCTGCAGCAAGTAAGACCACAAACAGGATGACAGAAATAGCATAAATTCAAATATAATTGTACATCATTTATACCCAAGGCCGTGCTATACAACATTATGAACAGAGTCATTCCCCCAGTGGCATCACAAGAAGCTTATTCCAAAAAAAACAATCCCTTTGCTAGTTTTAGAGAGAACTTTGATACCTTCTGTTACAAAGGAGTATCAAAATTTCAATAATGCTTTATTAAAGACAGATTAATAGGCAGGATTTCTTTTTTTCAGGCTAAAAACTAGGACTAAAAAAATTTAAGCTTCCATCTGGTCTGAAGCAGAACAAAGTGCTGTCTTCTCTTTACAAGAAATCTGGAATACTTTCAAGTATCTTGTTCAAAGATACACAAGGTTGAAGAGTTTCTAACTCATTCTACATCCATACAGAGAAGTTAGTAGGCATTGAAGGCTCAGAGGGTGTTAGATGGGCTGACCATGGTGATGTCCTGGGGAGTGACTCTTGTACCACTGGATTCTGGAGCTGGTTTGGTAACTGCCAATGTAGAACCTGCAAAGTAGAAAATGTGGTTGGTTGTTTTTTTTTTTTTAAAT